GCCATGACATGGGGTGACTAGGAGTGGCTGGAGTGAATACTGTCCCAGGGCAGACACCACTAACTGAACATGCCCAGCAGGAATGGCAAGGCAGGACTCAGCAGTAACACAAAAACAAAACTGAAGAAACAGAATCAGTGTTGGTAGTAACTCACTATCCCTCCGCTATATCTGGTGGATTCCAATACTGCAGACTCTGAAAAGAAACCTTGGATTCAAAAAAACAGGAATATTTTGGGATTCATTCCTCTTTTCCTTCATTTTTCTTTGAAGGGGGTGGAGTTCTTTTTTTACTTTCACTTTGCTTTTTCTTCTTTTCTGTGTTTGTTCTTTTCTGTTAATTTTATCTAATTATATTAATTTTCTATTGCTTTTTAACAGGATCCTTTAACTCACGTTTTCTCCTTTTCATCTTCCTTATCTTTATTTTTCAATTTTTATTTTTTTCATTTTTCCTCCCCACTTCATCCATCTTTACTAGTATTACTATTAAGCTATATTAATCTTTAGATATTTAGTAGATGCCAATATTTGGCTTGTCCATGTGTCTATTTTGTGATTATAGGTCTCTTTTCTATTGGTAAGGGTGGTATAGTGGTAGATTTTACTAGTTCTTATGGTATGTTAATATCCTGTTTGCCTTTGAATGTATTATTGTTGCTGATTTCATTGCTTTTGCCAGGGTGGCATAGTTGTTGCTATTAATTGGTTTGTACTGTATACCAATATCTGGTTTATCTTTGTATCATCCACAGCTCTGTGGTTCATTTATGGAGACTTGGATCTAAGGCAAATTACAGTGCATCCTACTCTCCCCAAATTAATGGAGATGTCTGAATCTTGGGACAGAGGCAATGGCCTATAGTGAGCCATACCCAGAATGCATCACTGGAAAGCAGATAGTAACTAAAGAGATCTCCCTACAAGCAACAAAATCCTTTCACTGTAACTGACCCAAAACACTCAGCACAAAAAAAAAAGGAAAAAAAGAAAAAAGAAATATGAGAAAACAAGGCAACAGAATACTCCCAAAGCTCCCACATCCCCCAAAACTGATCTATGAAGTTTTGATGAGAAGGAAATCAAAAGTCAAACAACTGAATTACACAAAGTGATAAAAGAGGAAACAAACAAAGAGAAGATCAACAGGATGGTTGGCAAGCTCAGAGATGATAGTATAACAAAAAAGATAATAGACAATCAAAACTATCATTGAGCTTACAGAAGACACTAATAAAAAACTAGTTGAGAAAAACAAAGTGATACAAAGCATGAATGAGCAATTTAGCAAAGAACTGAACTCTATGAAAGGGTTCCAAACAGAAATCCAGGAGATAAAAATTCCATTGAAAGTATGGGCAGCAGAATTGACCAATGTGAGGAGAGTGACAGAAGTAGAAGATAGTGCTCATGCAGAGGACCATCTATTCAGAGATACCTTAAAAACAAAAGACCACAGAAAATAGACTAACAGGTGCTAAATGAAACAGAGAAGATTAACCTAAGATTAACTGGAATTAGTAAAAAGGCAAAACACGGCAAAAATGGCATTAAAAAAAAAAAAACCTGTTTACAGAAACCATGGCAAAAAATTTCCAAGTATGGGGAAAGAATTCAACATACAGAGTAGACTTCAAGTCAGCACTGATCAGAAGAGGCAAAGAAAGTCATTAAATATTGGTCCAGGGAACTATTCAACAGGAAGAGACAACCATTATAATATATATGCACTGAACACCAGTGCACCCAAATTCATAAAACAAATACTACTGCACAAAAACAAACTATCCTTTTGGCAAATGAAAGATCTTTTACATGGACGACCCCCAAATCCCACTGTTGTAGTTAGGGTTTGCAAAGGAAATAGATTTAATACAGGGCACATAAATTATAGGATTATTTTATAATCGTCATCCAAAAAGTCAAATGCAGAGGAGTGCAAGAGATCTAGCCATGCACTAGAGACTTGAAGAATCCAGGCAAGGGCCTGGATCCCACAGCAACCCCCTCCCCACAAGTCCAGCTGAAGGCCTAGAGTCCAAGGCAATGTCCTCCATGAGTCCAGCCAGAGGCCTAGAACCCATAGTAATGTCTCATGCTTGTCCATATCAAGGATCTTCAGCAGGAAGGCCCAAAGGCCAGTGGTGGAAGGTAGAAAGATTTGTGCCACCAGGCTGAGGAATCTACACTGGAGCCAGGAAATGATGCTCATAGAAAAGACAAGAGCTCCCCTGAGGAGAATAGCAGCTATTCAGAGAACAGCCAAGTTCACATCAGGAAAACCACCCACAGCAAGCTTCTCCAAGAAAATCAACAGCCAGTGATCTTCCCCTCCAGTTCTCTTTTTGCGCCACTGGAAACAATCCTCAGGTGGGTATTCCACACCTAAACCATGCTGATTCCATTCAGCTGGGTGTTCCAAGTTGACCATTAGTTAACCCACCAGACCCACTAGAAGACTCCTAGAACTAATAAATTCGGCAAGATAGCAGGATATAAAACCAACAGACACAAAATTATATATGTATATACATATATACTGTATACAAATAATGAACCCACCAAAACAATTTAGAAAACAAAACCATTCACAAGATCTTCAACAAGAATTAAATATTTTGAAATTAACCTAACCAAGTAAATAAAAACCTCTATAATGAAAACTATAGTACTCTGAAAAGGAGATTAAGAAGTATATCAGAAAATGGACAAATATCCTCTGTTCCTGCATAGGCAAAACCAATATTATAAAAATGGCCACACTTTCAAAACTGATATATAGATTTAAAGTAATCCCAATCAAAATACTGATAGCATTCCTCACAGAACTAGAGAAAAATAAATCTTAATATTCATATGGAACCAGGAGAGACCCAGAATAGCCAAAACAACCCTGGAATGTAAGAAAATAGCAGGAAACATCACAATTTCAGATTTAAAGTTATATTACAAAGCTACAGTGTTGAAAGCAGCATGGTACTGGCAGAAAAAACAGGTACTTGGGTCAGTGGAACAGAATAGATGGTGCAGAAACAATCCCAGGAAATTCAGCCATCTGATCTTAAACAAAGAGGCCAAAAGCATACACTGGATGAAAGACAGCTTCTTTAAGAAATGATGCTGACAAAACTAGCTATCCACATGCAGAAGACATTAAGGAATATACAGAAATTGTAGTATATACTATCTCTCAATATGTACTAAAGTCAAAATGGATCAGAGATCTAAATATTAAAATAGAAACACTGCTGAAGATAAAATAGGTAATTCTCTTGAAGACACAGGCATAGGCAAAGACTTTCTGAACAGAATCCCAATTGCAATAGAAGTAACATCAAGAATCAACAAATTGGGCTGGGGATTTAGCTCAGTGGTTCCGCCACCTCACAAGTGGAAGGACCCAAGTTCAATCCCCGTTACCAAAAATCTAGAATATATAAAGAACTCAAAAGAGTTAAATCCTTCAATAAAAAAATAGGCAATTGATATGAATAGATACTTCTCAGAAGAAGCACAAATGGCAATAAATAGTGTACATGAAAAAAATCTTCAAAATCTCTGGCTGTTAGAGAAATGTACATTACAACAACACTGAGATTCTGCCTTACTCCAGAAAGAATAATTATCAACAAGAAATCAAATAATAACAAATGTTGGGGAGGCTGCATGTGAAAAAGAACCCTTCTTGTTGATGGAAATGTAGTCTAGTGAAATCAGTGTAGATATTTTTCAAAAAAGTAAAAATAGAAACTCTATTCACCCAGCTCTTCCCCCTTGTAGGTGTCTTCCCCAAAGAGTTAAAGACATCATATTACAGTGATACATGAATACCCACATTTATAGCAGCACAACTCATAATAGCTAAATTTTGAAAGCAGCCTATATGTCTTTCAACAGGTTAATGGCTAAAGAAAATGTATTTATACACAATGGACTACTACTCAGTTATATAGATGGATAAATTTGAGTCATTTGTAAGACAGCAGATGTACCTTCAGGCAATAATGTTAAGTATAATAGATACAGAAGGTTAAATATTGCATGGTTTCTCTTATATGAGAAACCCAAAGTATAAATCAAGAGCAAAATAAAAGACAAATAATAGGAAATAGGGAGATAGATCTTTTGCAAATGGGAAGCGGACCGAGAGATGGAGGGAGAGGGCAAGGGAAAGGGAATAAAATGTATTAAGGTATGTTATGTGAATGTACAAACTCCCCACTATGACTGTAATTGTTACAGACTGCAAACATGTAGTAAAAAAAAAAGAGTAAAAAATACTCACTCACAAAAGAATGTTCCTAATCAGTACTGTAAAGGCCATCATTTTGATAAAAGTAGGCTTCTATGATTTGTGCACACTTCAGACATTTAAGAGTAGCCAGTTGGGAACATGGTTCTTCATGTCTCTGTCAGTTCTCTAATTTTACTCAGGGTTGTTTTTTTTTTTTTTTTTTTGGTACCGGGGATCGAACTCGGGTCCTTCCACTTGCGAGGCAGGCGGCAGAACTACTGAGCTAAATCCCCAGCCCTCTAATTTTACTCTCAACCTGAATGGATCCCTCAGGCCGGTGACTCGAAGGAAATTTTAACCACGCCTGTCTTCTTCCTTCCTCCCACAAGCGAAGATGGAACCCGGGCGTCCACAGTGGCCCGAGAGCCCTGGCTGATGCCTGCTGACACTCTCTGAGAAAGCCCTCACAGGCAGTCCCCAGATGCCTGCTTCTGAGTTCTCAGGAGTCTCCCCGTCACGTGACACTTCCGAGCAAACAGAAAGAGGAAATACAGGAAGGAATATGTCGCGCTCCAAACCAGACTCCCACCAAGAGGTACACACGACGACAGACAGAGCTCAACACCAAAGTTACAGTTCCGCTTGGTTTAAGCAACCTCATTTAACAGTTTTTGGATCCTTGTTTCCAATTTACATCTGTTTTTCCTGTTCATTTAAATCTCAGGGAATACTCACAACAGATATGTCTTCATTCCACTCTTGCTTTTGTGTTTTCTCTGCAGTTGTAGCGCTGAGATTCCCTGGACTGGGTTCGAATGTTTGGAGTGGGCAGTACTCGAGACAGGACCCTTCAGTGACTTCACCTCCACCTGGATCATCACCTATGGTCCTCGGGCTAATCGTCTGGAGAAAGTGCTTGATGAATCTCAGAGACCCTGGCCTGCTAACACAGAGCAGTCGCTGTTAGAAGTAACGGTGGACATGGCATTACTTTGCTTACTAAGCGATATTAACAAACATTTATTGAGCACCAATTCTTCTTTTATTTTTCATAGAACAGCTTTTATATTTTCTTTATTAATATATACTTGTATTTTTTTTGGTACCGGGGGTCGAACTCGGGACCTTGCAAATATATACTTGTAGTACATTAAAATAAAATAAAGAAATAAATTTAAAAAGCAAAAAAAACCCATTTTGGGCTGGCTTGGTCGACTTAGCTAGATCTTGTGTCAAAAGTATATATATATTTACATATTCAATGATAAACAAATGCATAGATCAACATATATTAATAAAAATATATATTGAATGTTATGATCATCAGCAGATGTAGCTGAGTGGTAGAAGCACCTTCGGTTCAATCCTCAGTAGAGGGGGAAAAATACACACATACCTCATGTACTATTCCTCACACAATTTTGGGGAAAATATGTTATGTTTGTTTTCAAGAGTGAAATATCCACAATCCAGAGAAGAACTTTAACCATGAGACACTGATAAAGACAATGTATGTCTTTTACATATCTTTCAGATGGGGTATCTTCTGGCTCATTTTACCCAAATTACTTTTCATGAGTCTCTTCATACCATATTATTTACATTCATAGGAATGAAAAAAATACGTTGAATAAACACTTTAAAAGACCAGTTACAATAAATACATACTTTTAAAAGACCAATGTTTGACAGAGGATTTTATCCAGTGTTAATTCTTCCATGTGGGCCAACAGAGGGCTTTTGAAAAAGTATTGTATTTAAGGGTATCCTCGACATACTCTATTCATTTAAACCTGTGAATAAAACCAGGATGAATATATTTCCCATACCCTCCAATGATGTCAACCCTCTTCCGCTATGCATTCTCATGCATTTTAGACAGGTGATATAATGAAGGCTTTGCTATTCTATATTTAGAGCTTTTCATGTACTGAGTACGAGTGGAATGTATTCAAAGGGAAGCAGAATTAAGGCTTTTTTTTTTTTTAACCTACGTAAGGTATTCCCACTCACCTTTTTTTCATTTTTTTAAAAAGGAAACTGGAACATCTGAAGGATTTTTCCTTATTGCTTATATACAGAAGCTTTCTCATTCATTTGAGTTCCTGTCTTCAATACTTAGAGGAACAAATGAAAGTTCTTCCACATTGCTCACACATGTGGGGTTTGTGCCCAATATGAATCCTTTCAATTATTTGAAGAGTAGCAGAAAAACTGAACCACCAGTGTCATGCCTAGTGGGGAGCATCAATTCTGGGAAAGCCATTAAGGAGTACACAAAAATTATAGTCAATTGTTTAAGAAGCTTTAAGGGAACTACGACATTAACAAATTACCATAAATTAAGAAATAGCATAATAATAAAATAAGATAAAATACTAAACTTTAAAAATATACATGTTCTACCATCGGTATTTGGATACTGTAAAGTAGTTCGAATTTAAAATTACAAGTTGAAAAATAAAGCATTTCAGTCAGAGGAATCTTGGTTTTTTTCAAAGTAGATTCCATGAACCTTGAGTGAGTGTTATATCTAAGAGCTCTTTGTCTACAAAATATAAAAAGTAAATGCAATTAAGTATTCTCCAATAACTACGAAATACATTACTAAGCAAACTGGTTTAACTGTTTCTCTTAGACTCAAGGTTCTTTCTTGCCACTAGGTGGGAGTAAAAGTCAAGTGTTGATGCAGCTCATTTAAAGAGCAAGTGAGGGTTTCAGATTATTTATGCTTTTAAAAAATTGCTATTGGATTGGATTTTAAACTTTCACATTAAGAACAGAAGAATAAAGGCAGGAAGGAAAAGGAAAGGGGGAAAATGGGGAGGAAGGGAGGTGACTGAAACATTTGCTTTACCACTTATCTTTTAAATGACGCGGACACAATTTCAAGATCACTTCATCTTTAAAACCTTCGCAGTCTGACACAGGTAGGAAAGACACTCTGTGCTTGGCTCCCTGGGCAGCGTCTCATCTTGCCACCACCCGCCTGGATTAATCCTGACCCTTCCGCAGCATCGCCTCCTGGTGCGGTCCCACCGCTGGGCTCCCGTGCCCTCCTGTCTCTGGGCACCTTTCTCCCACTCCTCTGGGCTTCTCCAGGGCTTGGTTATCGGGGCAGCGCTTCCCTCGGCCTCCACAGTTTCTCTGTCTCTTCCCATCCCCGGCGACCCGCGGAGGTGAAAGCGAGGATTTCAGAATTGAGCCTCTGGGCCACGATGGTCCTTTAGTCCTTCACACACACACACGCTCATAAACTTGAAAAAGCAAGAAGAATTTGGGAGATGAACTTGGCGATAGAATCATAAACTTGGTGATAGGATCAAGAAAAAGTTGAAGAAGTGTTCATTTTGAAAGGCTAATTTGAATTAAATTAAATTAAATTGAACAGTTTGACTTGAAAATGTGCTAGTTTTCCTAAAACTAGAAATGTTTGTATTCAGATATTTTCACTGTAAATTATGATAAAATTTTTATTTTTCATTATTCAGGTTTAAGTAACATATATCACAATTGATTTAAATAACATTTTTATTTTAAAAAGTTTTAGATTTACAGAAAAATTGTTTAAAGAGTACAGAGTATTTCTATAAATTCCCAGATTCAGTTTCTTCCATCATTAACATCTTATTCTTGCATGCTTTATTTGTTATAATTAGGTAAGTAATATTGACACATTATTATTAAAGACCATATACTGTTCAGACTGTTCAGATTTACTCTATTTTTATTTTATGGCCTTTTATTCTAATAGATATCATATTTCATTTAGTTACCAGGAGAGGGACATTAGTCATACAGTGCTGCTGATATATTTAAAATTCTGAAATATCTGACAAATTATGTTTTTATTTATTTATTGATCTACCTCTCCAGTCCTTTTTTATTTATTTATTATTTTAAAATCTTGAGACAGGATCTCACTAAAACATTAAGTTGCCCAGGCTGGGCTTGAATTTATCATCCTTTTGTCTCAGCCTCCCAAGGTGTTAGGATTACAAACAAGTGTGCACTACCACATCTGGCTTTTTTTTTTAAACCATTCTTGGCTTTTCATTATTTCTTTTTAAATAAAATGTTTGGATATAAACACATGGTGAGAATTTGATTCATTCAAAATAGTCACATCCCTTTGCATGGTTTTTGATGTTCCAGCATCTAAAATTTAATATCACTCATAATGCACAGTATTTCCAGTAAAAGGAATTATAGAGCAATGAAAAATTAGAAGCAAAGATGGCTTAGAAAGCATTATAACCTCTAAATATAAAAATTTATAAGCTATATTTATTTCTAAAGAAACAATTTTTAAGTAATGCTAATTTAACCAATAGAGAAAAAACTACCAAAATATACAGTTTCTGTTACAGACTAGAATATTAAATAATATTAAAAATATAATTGCAAGCCCAAAAGTTTGCTTATATGGATGACAGGCATCATCCCTTTGAAGCACAAAACATCAAATAAGGTCTTATTAAAGACTGATTTGCAACTTTCTTCATTTGTTAAGCTCTTGATAAATTCATAAAGCTTGATTCTCAGTCTTTAGAGCAAGGTATATCCATGCTTCTTAATCCTGACTTTCAGAAATGAAGGAACCAAATCATTCAGAATCTCAAGGGGGATTTATGCTTTACCATGTACCTATTCAATGTTTCCCAGAATCATTAAGAAAACTGGTCTATCCAAATGATGCAGCAGTTTTTGTGCAAGGTCCTGCCTGGCAGTTCAAAGGGTGGTCATGGCTTTTGACTGATGGATCACCAGTTGACATATTTGCTAAAATTAAAAGCCTTCCATCTCAAGTATGATGAAGTTCATCTAGATCCAAATGTTCAGAAATGGGATTTAACAGTATTAGAACTCAGCTATCAAAAACATCATTTAGACATCTGGCTTTTTAAAAGTCATATTTTATAGTGTAAAATACTTAAAGTACACACGACTATGGGAAACATTTCATTTTTAAAATATTAAATTTGGAGATGTTTTATTTTTATATAAGAAAACATTTTTGAATTGTGCATGTGTGTCTACATATGATTATTTAACTGTTTTTATGAAACATGTTTTTATTTAAATGTTTTTATGAAAGCACTTAGAAAGTCTCCAGCCATAAGATGGTGTTTCCTCACTTCTACCTGCATTGCTAAATGTTCTTGTTTCAATCAGATATCATTTACTAATATTACTGTGTAATGCTATTGAGAATGGCTTATAGCTTTTAGGAATGTAAAAGACATCATTTCCTTTGGTCTGTAAAATGGGGAAACTTTTATTTACTTGTTCTCCATATCACTGATTCAATTTTTGCACTGTAAATTGCTTTCTACTCCAATAACAAGTTCATCAGTTCTCCACATTCTCATAACATTGTCACCCCATTGGAGGCACAGCGAGCCTGGTATGCAGGCCACCCTGTGATGAGATTGTCCCCTCCAGCGGCATCAGCTACCACGTGAGGGGAACTGAGGCTGCTCCCCAGGACCTGAAACTTCCCCGAGGCGACAGTGAGTGCTCCAGAGCCACCTGACAAAAGCAGAACTGAGACAGAGGTCAGTCACCCAGCACTGTGACCTTGAGGTTGCCCTGGATCTTCCTAAGAAGCAAATACTGAAGCAAAGGAATTGCACATCGGGAAAGATAACAATGGGAAATAATCCTTTGGATTTTAAGTTTAGAACATACTAAAGAATAAAGGACCAGCGTCTTAACAGTGGTCATTAAGCCAAGGGAAAGCAGAATAAATTCAGTCATTTGATTTTAGTTACTTGTGTTTATTACCAAATATAGTGGTCACATGGCTGAGGAGTTCGCTCCTTTCACCAATGTATGGTTACTATGGTAACAGCTGTCCTAGCAGCTTTTCAGGACCTTGAGGCTGCTTTTGTCCAGCTCAAAACGGTGGAAACTGCTGACTCTTCACTGGGCCAGTCCAGTTATCCATCCGTAGGTATTACAGGCTGAAACCTCCACTCTGCGTCTCCCGCCAACACCTCCATATTCCAAACACGTTCCCTGTGAAGAGCCCTGGCATTTGTTTGGCCACTTCCTCTCTCCTTACCTCCAATACCCTCCACCTCCCATAGCCCTACTGTTTTCCCTGACAGAGGTACCAGCCTTTTAAAGTCAAGTCAAGAGCAGCAACTTCGGGAGTAAGGCAGGACATCTCCTGAGTCGAGAGGCACAGGGCCTTCACAAATTCGCGCCTCGTTCAGTCGCCCCCACTGCGCATGCGCGCAACAATGTTTACCCACGTTGCTAGGCGACGAGCTCGCCTCCCGGATGGATCAGCAACCGGAGCTTTGGGGTATGAAGCAGAGGGAGACTCAGTCGCAAGCTCTACATGCTGGTGTTGGCTTCCCAAGGCCGGTGGCTTGGCCGTGAGGAAGACGTTCAGTTTCGGGAGTCAGATGTTTAGCTCTTTCCCCGACTGCGGTTGATCTCCCGGAAGGGGGCGTCAGGGCGCTCGCAGCCTCCCCGGGCCGGATTCCTTTTCCGGCGCGGGTGCAGGCGAGGCCGCCAGAGGGCAGTGGGTCCTCCGCCTAGGGAAAACAGGTTGAATGACCGACAGGAAGGACAGGTAACTGGGCCAGGGCCGCGTGGGGACCGGACAGCCGGTCTCCGAGTGGAGAAGGCTGCCTGCCAGGGCTGGGCCGGGCCGGGCTCTGCTCGCGTCTCTGGGCTCCTCACCCGCTGGGCGTGGGCCAAGACCCAGACCCGGAAGGGCCGCGCCGGAGGCTGCCGGAGCAGCCGGACCAGAACTAGGTCCCCTGATAGAAGCAAGGGTGCGCAGCATTTTATTTTTAATGTACTCTCTTAAAAAGCATAATGTTAAATTCCTGTGGAAAAGATTGGGAGAGTCCTCTCATAATACCCAGGAGTAATCATTTTCGAAATAAAGTGCAGTATCCATGTGTGTCAGTGTACACCTGTGACTGTGTCTTTCACTGCGGGGACTTAGGAGAGGCTTTGAAGCTGAAAGAGCCCTGTATTTTTCCTTTTAAAAGTTATTTCTCACAAGTGTTTTTTTGGGGGGGCAGCTTTACTCCTCAATGAGTTTTACATATTTCTCACCTGCTGCTTCCCGTAGTTTATCTAGCTCTGAAGAGTTACTCTGTGTCATCTTGACCTGCCAGCCCCTCTATAAGAAGGTTTATTGACAAAGTCCTACATTTCCTGCAAGGGCCTCATGTACATCAGTTACTTCTGATGGAGAAGGGAGTTTGAAGCACCCAACTCATGCTGCATTTCAGTTTTATCTGCATTGCAGGGAGATGAAGGAAACACCACTTCCGGAGCTTCCTGTGCACATTTCCAATTCCCACCTGTGGCTCCTATCGGTCTTCATGGAGCTTCTCCACTAGAGCAGCTCCAGGTTCTCTGTTTGCAGGCGACCAAGAGTCACTATTTTAGTGTCTTGAGTAGTCCCCAAACAGGAGCTCTTTCTATGTGGATCACTTTTGCACAAACCGTACAAGAATATGAAAGTTCCCACATTTCTCAGTTTCATATGCTCTTTTAATGTGACTACCCTAAGAAAATGTTTGTAATACAGTGTTGACCTTCTGTGTAACAGAACTTGGCTATGCATGTTCACTGATACTCTATGGACTCACAGCCAAAAAGACACACACACACATGAATGGAACATTGTCAAGAAGCACTCAAACCTAACAAGAATTTAGAACTTGGGCCTGGTGACTAGGAGTATAAAAAGATGAATTGTTCACAAACAAAATGCCTGTTAATTGTTTGGAGAAACCTAGTTAGGTTTTTATATCACAAAAGTAAGTTCCTAATAGAATATGCATAAAAATTGTACCTGATTTAAAAAATTAAGAAAACAGATACCCCATGTATACATTTTTGTGTTGGCAAAGGACCTTCCTAAAAATGACCTGAAAAGCAAAGCAAGAACTCATATGCCCCCTCCCTTTGGTTGTTTTCTTTTGTCTGATAGAGATTGAACCCAAGGCCTAGTATATGCTGGACACACATTGTCACTGAGCTACACTTCCAGGCTAAAAGCAAGCATTTTGAAGGTCAATGTTTCAAAATAAAAATTAAAAATCTCTGCATATCAGAAATAGTTAACCGAATAAAAAACATGTCTAATATTTACAATTTATACATGAGATGAAAAATATATCTTCATTTTAGAAAGTTTGTTCTTTCTAACCTGAACAAAAGCAAAGAAACAAAAACTGGCATTTGGAGATCAAACCCATAGCTTCTGTGCTAGGCAAGTGTTCTAACAGTAAGTACTACCCCCAACTCCTAATTTCTCATTTAAATTGGGTAGATTATTCTTTTGCAGATCTACAGAATATGATATGGGCGGGG